TTCAGAACGCCGTACCCTCTGGAGCTGAAAATATCGACCTAAATCGGGCCAATTTATGAGTTTTCAATTCCGTTCAAAAAATAAAATATGTCCGTTTTGACGAAATTGCTGTTACTTATTCCAATTTATTGCAGGCTTGAATAATTCACAATAGGTATTTAGGACTTTTCTTACTACCATCTCACTTTTTTTTTTTTTTTTTTTTTTTTCCTTTTTTTACAGTGAGTGTTGAGTCGTCAGCGAGGGGACCTCCCTTCCACTGAATGTTATTGTGCAGGGTGAGTCCTCCTGTTTGTGCATTTATTCTTTTCTTTTCTTTTTCTTTCTTTTTTTTTAAAAAACAACCCGAGCAGTTGCTGGGGGTGCTGATAGGAGCAGACACCACCAGCACCTTCGGGGAGGCTCCATCTATTGGTGGGGCGCAGCACCTGCTGGAAATCGGGCCCAGAGTCCCTGTAATGTACAATGTGATGAATGAAAACATGCAAGCAAGAGTTGTCAATATGCACGAGGGAAAAAAAAAAAAAAGCATGAGGGGGCCGGGCGGTAAAGAGCCCGACCTTACTATGGCGTATTGACTGTCAGTTATCATCTATATACTTATTATTAAGTTATTAACTTATTCTTTCTTATGTTATCGAGTACGACTTCAACTTGAATGACAAACAACAGTGGAGCCAGAGGACAGCGCTGTCGAACGGATCTGGTCAAGGGGACTCCTGGGATAGTCGACCGTTGATCATCACTCACACACCTACAGACCACCCATCGTAGTCCACCCACCACATCATCCCTATGCTGATTGCTCTGTGTACAATGTAGATCATTCAATGACTCATTATTCTGTATTTGTCTACTTGGTGTCATATCTATGGGCCTACGGTCTATGAATCCTCAAACCTATAGACCTATATAGTATATACCCACACAATCTCTCACCCACTCACCAACTTTGTCAGAGGGTCATGACTACCGCATGACTCTCATGCTGCAATGAACCTAAACAAGTCACATACCATCCAAGTCCAACGAAAACCAAAGAAGAGATTGCCGCAACAAAAGCAAATAAGAGACGACAAAGCAGAAGAAGGAAAAGGAAAGGGCAGTCGAGCGAAAGCTGTTTACAAGTTATTTACCATAAAAAAAGCTGAAAATGTCCGTGTCGGAGGATGACCCTCTTGTTGAGAGACTGTACCCAACTGTGAGACAGCTCCCCATCTGGAGATAAACCATTTCAAGACTCCCGCTGTGCAGGGCTTCTTCTGTATCCTGTACTCCCCAGAGCCAGTTAACCGAGCCCTCATTTTTCACCTCAATTTATAAGAAAACCATAAGGCTATTTCAAGCAAAAAACAAATAATAAAAAACACATAAAACAGCACCTCGAAAGTGCATTTTTAGGCAATTTTGCCAAAAAAAAATTCATCAAAATTTCAGGATTTTCAGGATGATCAACAGCACAATTTCTACTAACTCTAATGACACCAAATTTGACACACAGCAAGCTTGTCCAAAAACAAAATCAGGCAAAAAACAATAATCCAAAAAAACACAAATTTGACCCCGAAACCCTAATTTCAGGATCATTCATGGTTACTCAGGGTCAAAAAGTGGGGGTCCCCGTTAACCGCTTGTGGTACTCCCAGTCTGCCAATATGGCTTGTTTCATAGCGTACTTAAATCTCAGCCCTGATCATAAGCGGCGTTAAGTCTTTCCCCGCTGCCTGCCGTAGAGTTCCAAAGTTTTTTTTTTTTTTTTTTTCTTGTTAGAGAGAACACGCAGACGGATGCTAGGGGAGCTGGTAAGAGCAGACACCACAAGCACCGCCGGGGAGAGTTCCGAAGGTTTCAAAACGTCCACAAAATTGCTCCTCGTATGGTTTCTTCGGCGCGAGTCATTTGCTTTTGAGCTGGTCGTTGTCTGAGTGCAGTCCCCACTAACACAAACGGGTCACCCCATCTAGTGTTAGCCCCTGGAATGTCATCATGAAAGGACCCACAGAAGATTAGCAAATGGTCCCTGCGGAAGGATGCCATGCATAATATCTTCAGGGTGTAAGTGACGCCGGGTGGCCCCGGTACCTCAAACTTTCAAACTTCTATGTAAATTTCCATATGGGACGCTGGGCCCGGTTCCCAGCACGTGCTGCTTCCCACGAATAGATTGGAGCTTTGTTCCCAGTTGAAAAAAAAAAAAGAAAAAAAAAAAAAAAAGAAAAAGATGCTGGACCCGTTTTCCGGCAAGTGAAGCTCCCCACAAATAGTTGGAGCCTACTACCCTGCCTGGAGTTGTCTTTATAAAAAAAAAGATGCCGTGCATAAATTGAGAAATGGTCCGAAGTTTTGGTCTCCAAAAACAAAAACCAAAAAAAACATCTGGGTGCAGGTACTATATCCCAGTGGGGGAACCCCCCCCCCTATATCCCAGTGGTGGTGAGTGAACCGTCAGGATAGAGGTCTTGCTGGGAGATGGATCCTGTCCCTTTGGTGGGGAGCTACACCTGCGAGAAACCGTGTCCAGCATCCCCTATAAATGGTATGAAATATGAAGTGGCATATATGTATGGTCCTGCACGCCCACCACATTAACCCTGCCAGTGTGTTAAAAAAGAAAAAGAACAAGAAAAAGAAAAAGAAAAAGAAAGAAGATCCTACTTGCGATTAGCCAAGTAGTTGCGGACTTTTTTGGTGCTTCGGAGAGCGGGAATAGGGGATTTGGTACTATTTTCTTTTTTGGAAGACAGTGGTTTTCTACAGGGGAGGGGCTCCACCCGACGAAGCGGGATTGGAGACCTTGCGACCCCTGAATCTGCAGTTCTGTGACATTGTATTTTTGCCTTGGGTGTTGGGCCCTAATAAAACTACTTTTTCTTACAAAAAAAGTATTCTCCGAGACATTCTCAGGACATAATGTCTTTCTTTCTACAAGTGGCTCTCCTTTTGTTTTCATCGCGTTTTTTTTTTTTTGTTGTTGGAAACCAAACGTTTGTCGTTTCCCTTCCTCTCAGTTCCATCACTTTCGGCAAAAGGCATAAGGGCGGGTGCATGCACCTGCCCGCGTGCCACCCAACCACCGACCTGCCTGCCCACCTACACACTAACACCTGCCTGCCAGCCAGCCATGATATGGATCCAAGTCCGAACTATGGGGGGCAAGGGGCTGACCCACGACTTTGAAAAATTACTACTCTATGACATACACACACATACACACATAGAAACACACACACACATACACACAGACACACTGATGGATACTACACACACACACACACACGTGAAACGTACACACACACACACACACACAAGCTCATTTTTATTAATAAATTAATAATAATATTAATAATTAATAAAAATAATAATTAAAATAATAATTAATTATTAATAATAATCATTAAAGTTATAAATTAAAATAAATAATATAATTCATAAATAAAAAGAAACTAATAATAAATAATAATAATAATAAAATAAATAATAATAATAAAATAACAGATTTTGATTTTAATTTTTAAATAAGATAAAATATAATATATAAAAAAATAAAAAATAAAAAATAAAATAAAAAATAAAAAATAAAAAATAAAAAATAAAAAATAAAAATAAATAAAATTATAAAATTATAATAAAATTATAACATTATAAAATAATAACAATTAAAGAATTAAATAAAAATAAAAAAAGTAAAAGAATTAAAGTAATAAAATATAAAGTAAATAAAGTTAATAATTAATTAAATAATTAAAAAAATAAAAATAAAAAATAACAATTTTTTTTGTTTTTTTTTAAAACTTTATCGTCTTCCCTTCACAAATTGAATAGGCCAATTATTATGCTCCTCAGAATGATGATATCCTTAGCCGATGGTGACTTAAAAACTCAACTTAAAAACTGCTACAGTCAGGGTTGCCGGCGTTCGGGACGGCCCGAACGCCCGAACCCGAACGCCCGAACGTACGGGACCCCTTCGGAAGGCGTTCGGCCGTTCGGGCCGAACGCGGACCAAAAAAAAAAAAAAAAAAAAAAAAAAAAAAGTTTTTCAAAACTTCCGAAAACAAAACGTGTTATGGAGAAAAATAAACTAAACAACATTTGCTTGGGCACTACATCAAAATTCTTTACCAAATTTGAATTGAAAATCAAATAGAGAAAATAAATTTTATGATAAAAATAAAAAAAAATAAAAAGAGAATTAAATTGAGTGAGTGTGCCAGCACCTTTTCGACACCGCCATCTTTGCCGACTTTTAATTATTTTTTGGCATTGACAAATGCCCTGAAAATTTACAGATATGTAGTTTACATAATCAATAACTCATTAAAACGTTTTCAAAAAATAATAATTTTTTTTAGGCCCCGAAATGAAGTGAAAATAAAAAGTTAAAAGTGAAAAAAAACAAAATAGTGAGTGGGCGAGCACGTTTTGAGACTTTGTCTCACTTTCATCGATACTATCAATTGCGCGTGTGAACGATCCTGGAGTCACCATGTCGGTATAGGTGAGCATGTTTGTGACACTGTACTATCAATTGTCTGACCGGATTAGGACGATAGCGACGGGGGCTGGCCTTACGCCTGTCTACATGATCGCGATTACAGTGGTCCCGGCGATATGGCGGGCCACGGGGATCGATGTGACTATGGAGGGAGCAGCCATGACCATGGATGGAGTGGCCGCGACCAGGATGGTAGCGAACGCGAATATGGAGGAAGACATCGAGGTTATGGCAGTGATAGGGGTTATGGTAGTGATCGTGGCCTTATTGGCGAGAGATAGGGCGATCGGCAGTATGATCGTGGACCACGACGGGGACCCCCTACCTGTTTTAACTGCGGGGAACCAGGGCACTATGCTAATCAGCGCCCTCACCCTCGGAAGAATTCGAAATTTGGCAGAGGGAGTGCAGGCGACTTTGGGGAATCAAGTTCCCTCAGTGGACTGGACCGCCCCAAACATGCACAGTAGGGAGACGAATTGGAATCTAAAGTCACGGAGATCGGGAGGAGTGTGGCAGCTGTCTGTCAATATGTCGAGATGGAGCAACAGAAGAAAATAGCTAAGGAGCGGAGGAAAGCTGAGAAGAAGGAAGCTGTGGAGTGTGCAGCTGCTGAACGTGCCGAAGCCGAACTCAAGAAAAAGAAGAAGGAAGCGAAGGCGCTCAAGGATGCAGAACAGAAGGAGGAGATGCGCAAGTGCCTGAACATTAGAATGGCGTTGCGTGTAGGTGAGCTTTGTGATGAGGTGAGAGAAGAAGTGCGGCAGGAGATCTGTGACGCGATTGGGGAGTTGTGTACGGTAGTGGCGCGGGGTAAACAGAAGGTTGCCCGATCAGGTTCACCTGCTAACAGCGCTAGCAGCAGCGATACTGAGGAGTTGAACTTACGGACACGCGACCTGTGCCTTACTGAGAAGAGGAAACGGGGACCAAAAGTTGTACTTGAGGATAGTCCCCCGATGGAACTACCTCCCAAATGTACGCCTCGTCGGGCTCGTGGACAGGGCTACGAGATGCGTAGAATGGCGAGAGCGAGGGCCGCAGTGAAGACACCGACTCCGAAGAAGACTCCGCCCTCTATCCGGAAGAAGACTCCGGCGGCCATCGGTGTAGTCGGGAAACTGAGATTCGAGAAGAAAGTAATGAATGACTTGACGAATTTGGACGCCTTGGTATTGTAGAATACCATAGCAAGTTTGAATCCATCTTTGATATTGCCGCACATCGTACTAGCGTGGCCTATGGCTCGAACGATGACGACAATGAGACGTCAACCCATGAGGGCACCGCGGATACTGCCGACGAGGAAGGTAAGACCTCTACTGAATGAGGTGGCTTCAGTATTGCCGTATTGTGGAGGATCATACACTGCCTTATCGTGATTCAGACGTTGATTGATGGGGTAGATGGTAGGATTGAGGAACTGCTCCGATTAGTTGTTGTTAATTTGTCGCTATATGATGTGTTCCGATGGACTCGAAAGTGCGTCGAAGCTTGGATACGTTTGTATGATCTGCTCGGGTCAGAATTTGTCAACCTGAAATCGAGCGTATATGTAGTCGTGTCTCCGTATTGCAAATCTCAATATATTGGTAAATCCTCAAGGCACCTGGATGTACGTTGGCGTGAACACAGGTACACGAGCCGTAAGAAGAGCCCGAACCACTTCTACCGTTGGTTAGGGTGTTTTGGTGTAAATAACTATGTGTTGATACCTGTCGATACGATAGTGAACGATGAACTAACTAAACTCGAGAACCTATATATTCGTCAGTGGTCGCCGTATTTGAATACATCTGGGGTTCGTACGGGGTCTAATCGAGCCGGGAAATGACGTACGGTGGGGAAGAAGGAGAGGTTGAGGCAACGGATTCACTCACAAGTAAGGGTACAAGTCGTAGCACCAATCCGGTTTAGAACCAGCGTAGCCGAGGACTGGCGACTGAATTTTTACGCCTTGCTGAAGGAGCGCGAGTCTACGGGGGATAGGAATTTTGTCATTCACACTAGCGGGGGTAACGCTTGGCAGTCAGCATGGAAGTGCATCTCGCGAAAGTTTGGAGCGACCAAGTTACGTCGTGGGTCTGAGACGGGACAGCTAAAAAACTGTAAAGCCTGGTTTGAAAGTGGGGGATGCATTACAGTTGAGTACGCTGTGTCATGGAAGCCCCAGTGTGGCTACCTTAAACAACTCCTTGTCTCCCTCCTGGAGAATCCGAGTGTTATTAGGAAATTCTATAGGTGGGACATGCGATCTTTGCTACGACTCTACAATGCGATCAAAGATTTTTCAAGGAAGTCAACTAGGAAATACCTGAGGAGACTGATCTCGCGATTGTTTCTCGACAGATTTGACCTCAGTCTTAGCTTCGACATATTAATCATAGTAAAATTTGATGACAGGATCAGTATTTGTGAACTCCGGAAAGTAGTCAATGACGTTCTGTGTGATCTTGATCTACCTACCTGCTTCATGCGTCGAGCACGTAAGAAAGCTCGGATAGTCTGGCAGAAGAACCAGACTGTGGGTGAGCTCCTGCACAATCATCGGGCTTTTGCTTCCCGTAGTGTGCTGACTTGTCAATGTGCAAGTCTACCCTATCTCAGAGTTGATGGGCACGTGTTGTTTCGTTTGAAGAAAGATGTGGTGGACCAGCCGTTGTTGGCCAATGCAAATAACATCCCGCGATCCCAACAAGCAGATCGTCTGATTTCCCTACGTTCTGAAGTCGAGTCGGGTTTTCGGAGCTGGAGGAACTATTGTGGGGATAAGCTGAGTGTATCTTTGGAGACTTTGGCTAGATGCATGCATGCTGATAGCGTGGAGACTTCGTCTCACCTATCGATGTCTGATGTCGAGGGTTTGAGGAAGCAGTTGAACGGACTAGTGTTGACTCCACTCGATAGGAACCCTGGTAAGACAGTTGTGATGTGCCCGAAGACTTACTATGAGGCTATGATGAACACATTCGTCAGAAGCTCAGGATACACGGTGATGCCAGTAGTTGAGACTGTTTTGCTCCGTGAGGTCAGAGAAGAGATGAAGGATGCGGGACTGCAAAGGTTTGTTCGGTGGGACAAGAGAGGAAAACTGGGGACTGCTTATGTAATTTCGAAACATAAAGATCTTGCGAGATATCGCCCGATCTGTCCAACGTTCAGCGAACCGATGGTTCACACTGGTCGGGCTGTGGCTAAAGGACTGAACTTCCTATTATCACGGTTACCATCTGGCTGTTACTTCAACCTCTCAGCTGTATCACATCTGACTGAGAGATTGGGTAAGGTTAACAACGAGATCAGGCGACTGGGACATGTCAACAGGATCATAGCACAATCCTTTGACATCAAGGACATGTTTAGTCGATTACCTCACCGTGATATCATTAACGCCATATCATGGTTATTGGAGTATCATGTGATGAAGGGACGTGAGTTTGTCCGGGTTAATACTAGGGGCAAAGGTGCATCTTTCGGGTTAACTACTGGAGCGGACCACTGGCGGAGGGTGGATCTTGATGATCTGAGGAAGTTCATTCCAATCGATTTGAAACACACATACACATCAACTACGTCTGTGCTGCTAAGACAGGATGTGGGCATTCCCATGGGGAAAAGTACCAGCCCGACATTAGCGTGCATCATGTGTGCTTACGCCGAGGCGATGTATCTGAGGAGCCTGGGCCGATTTGGGCGCCTGGTATTTGGGATCAGACTGATGGATGACGTGATCTTGATTGTGGCCTCGTTAGCTGTTGAAAGACTGGAATGCGTGCTGCACAGTTTTGAAACCTGCTATCCACGTAATCTGTGTCTAAAACGTACTGATGATGGCACCGAGACCTTGGATTTCCTAGGGTGCGAAATCCGTTGCTCGAATCGGTACCCATATTTGGGTTGTGTGCAGATGTCGCAAAATGAGGTGAGTATGTGGGAAGCAGGAGAATTGGAGTTCCAAACAGGGCAGTCCTTCCTCTCCTGGGGAAGCAAGCAGCAGAAGAGTGTTGCTATCACGAGTTACTTGCACCACATCGACCGAAATACTTTCGTGCGAAGCGAGATCCCGGGAGAGTACTGTCCTTGAAAAGAGAGCTAAGGTTGAAAGATGTCCCGACGCATTTCTTCGAAAGGGTCCTGAGGCGATATGCATATCGACGGGGTGATGTGTGGAAACAGATATTGGATATCATGTCAGGGTGGTGAGTTGTGAGCTTGTAGATGGATAGCTATTTAGACAACTAATTCGGGCAGGTGATTGGATAATCAGTAGTACTCTCTACCATGTTCATTACTTTGTTTGCTCGTTCATGCAGGATGTGTATGGTCAGACAGGGCAGTAGGCACAATGGCAGTACTGATGTAATTTTGTTTTGCACTCATTGTTGTGTTGGTGTTTGTACTAGGAACTGTTAGACGCTGAGGCTTGAGTAATTCATCTGACAGTACTGCCTGTTGACGCATGTTGACTGTGGTTGGACAGGGTTAATCGCGCGCATAAGACACTACTGACCTGTTTGTCGAGGTCTGTTTGTTGGGCCCCGTTTGTCAGGTTTTGATCCGTTGTTTCTTGTTTGAGTTTGATTTGTGTTTGCCTTGTTTGTCTTTGTTGGGTTCCTTTCTTAGTTGGGCTACTTTACGGGCCCGGTTTTCTGTGTATGACAAAGCGGATTTCGAGGGCAGTGGTAAGGCCGATTAGGTAGGTCTGGGACCTGATGATGGGTATGCGTTTTCGGAGTATCGGTAGGCTGAGTTAGACCTGGTACAGGCATGTTTGTTGTTTCTATCTTGATCCTACACCGGTCCCGTAAGACCGATATCTGGGCCGTGCTATTTTGGAAGCCAGGACACGACTGGTACTATAAGTAGAGTGAATACGACATCATCGTCCTCTTACAGTTCGCCCACCCGCCTGCGGCGGTGGACGAAGGGTTTGTCGGCAATATTTGAGGTTTTTGGGTGAGCGGAATGATGAAGAAGTGCCGTAATTTTCGAGATTCGTTTCACTTGTTTTGTCTTTCAGCTCGAGTCCATCTTGAGTCTCCTACTTGAGTCTGGTTTGAGCGGTTTGACCCTTTGGACTTTGTCCCACTTTCATCGATACTTAGCAGAATGGCTTCAAAATTTATAGGCGGGTAGATTACATCATAGAGAACTCACAAAAAAAAATTCAGAAAAAAAAACTTATTTTTAGGCTCTGAAAGTTTTTTTGGCGGGGGCCGAACTTGGAGGTGTTCTGCCCCCGAACGGGACCCCGAACGCCCGAACGTTCAGGGGCCAGCCCGGGGGCCCCCGAACGTTCGGTCAGGTAACCCTGGCTACAGTTATATATACTAACTTTTACACAAAACATAAAAATTATGTGACTCAAATTAAATGGATAAAGATTTAATTCCTTTTACAAGTTGATCATCTTCCCTTCACAAATTGAATAAGCTTATCCCAAAATCATGCTCGTCAGAATGATGATATCCTTAGTCGATGGTGCCTCAGAAACTGAACTAAAAAACTTTTAGAATACAAAAAAAAAACGATACTTATACACTAACTTTTACAAAATAAAAATTATGGGAATCACATACAGACACAGTTACGTACACAAATA